TCTGTGTTTCTTCCTATGGACTCGCTCAAGAAAGGCAACGAGGAGCCGGAGAGACCAAAGAAACCAGGAGATCTTCATGTAGAAGAGTTCAGACAGACAGACAGACAGAAACCAGGAGAGCTGCTTCAGGCAGAAGCAGGGGAAGCAGAAGGTGCTGGGAGAGTTCCCTGCAGAGCAGGAGAGAGACAGGCCATGTTTATGCCACTGGATTCGCTCCAGCCCCTCTCCTGCCCCTGCCCCTGCCCCTGCCCCTGCCCCTGCCCAGCAATGTCTGCTCAGAGGCTGAAAACTTACTTTAATATCAGCCTGAGCACTTATTTATCTATTTATTCAACAAGCTTTTATTAAGCGCCCTGGAGCCAGTGCTGAAGCAAATATGAGTTGGTAATAAGTTAAATAAATAAACAGACAAACAAACCCAAACCCAGCCTCCTGAAGTCCAAAGGAAGTAGAGACTCTTTGGAGAGGCCGCCTGGCCGAGGAGATGAGGAGTCCAGGCCCTGGTGCTGGTGCTCTTCTGCCACCTACCTGCTGGGTGACCTTAGGAAGGTCACTGCACCTCTCTGGGCCTTGGCTTGCCACCGTATAAAATAGTGTAAGAGTCCCAGGCCTGTCGCCTTATAAGTGCATTTGTGAGTTTTGAACCAAATGAGAATATACTTTGTGAAAACACCCTAAAGCCGTGTAAGGACCGAAGTCTGGGAGGGGCTGTATATGTTTATTATTGTCCGAGGGGTTGGGATGGCTTGCTGTGGGTGTCCTGTATTAATGCAGGGGGGAGGGGGAGATTTGTCTGTATAAAGCAATCTGATTAAAGGGAAGAGATAGGTCTGGTGGATCTATTGATGATAGGAAGGTAAAGAAACTGGGAGAGAGAGAAAGAGATCGATGGCTATGGAGTGAGAAGAATCAATAGCCTGCAGACAGAGGGAGAGAGTGGGAGGGCGCTGAGGTGGGCACAGGAGCAGGGGCAGGAGAGTGAGGGGCTGGGCAGCAGCAAGGGAGACCGAATACAGAGCCCGACTCTCTGAGGCCCACCGGTCACAGCCACGGCTTCTTGGGGGAACAGGATCTCTGGTTTCGGGCTCCGCAGGGAGCTGGTAGGACCTGCCTCACCGTCCCTCCCTGGGCAAGTGAGGGTGAGGCCTCGGCTTCCTGAGCTCATGTCGGTGCCGCAATGTCCCACATCTCCCCCTCTCTCCCTCTTCTTTCTCTGTTGTCACATTTATTCTTTTGTCTTTCCTATTATTATGAGGGACCATTTTCTGCAAACTGCTTTAGAGATTTGCTCTGCTCCCCCACTCCACCCCCTCCCCACCTCCCATCTCCACCCTGTCCCTCCTCCTCTGCATTATGGCCCCCAGCCTCACTGTGGGAGGTTATGACGTCACAGCACCCACATCTGGGACCTCATCCCTATCCGCCGAGATGGGTTCCCAGGGAGGGCGGAGGGGGGCGCTGGCTGGGAGTGGGGTGTGGACCCTGCTGTGGGGATGAGGAGCGGGCAGAGGATAAGCGCGGGTCACTCGGGCTGGCTCCCACGTGGGGATGGGCTCACGCTGGGCTCCCCCTTTCTGTCCCTGCAGCCTGGCCGCGGTACCGGGTCGTGGGCTCCGCGGACGCCGGGCAGTACAACCTGGAGATCACAGACGCCGAGCTCTCTGACGATGCCTCTTACGAATGCCAGGCCACGGAGGCCGCGCTGCGCTCCCGGCGGGCGAAGCTCACCGTGCTCAGTAATAGCCCCACCTCCCTCCGTGCCCTCAGCCACTCCTCCGCCTCTTTCTCTTGGCACCTGGCAGCCCCTCCGCCTCTCCTGTTCCACCCTCCCATCTTCCTTCTCCCTCTGCTCCTGGCCTCACGCCTGCCCCATGTCCCTCTCTCTCCTTAGCCTTCCCTCCCCTCTCCTTCTTTCAACTTCTTTTCTTCTTATTAATATATTTTTATTGATTTCAGAAAGGAAGGGAGAGAGAGAAATATCAATGATGCAGGTGGGGGGATATCAATGATGATTGAGAACCATTGATCGGCTGCCTTCTGCACGCCCCCTACTGGGGATCAAGCCCGCAACCAGGCATGTGCCCTTGCCTGGAATCGAACCCAGGACCTTTCAGTCCGCAGGCGGACGCTCTATCCACTGAGCCACACCAGCTAAGGCATTCTTTCGATTTCTTTTGGAGCCAGATCCAGGTTGAAGACAGTGAAATGGGGGCTTGGGCAGCCACCTGAGGGACATGTGGGGTGTGAGGTCTGGCACCCTGTGCCCAGGCTGTCCAAGGACACAGGCTCCCTGGGCCAGGGCAGAGGGCTGGGCTGGTGGAGACCCTGCCTGTTCTCCCAGCTCCTCCCGGCAGAGGGAGCTTCTCCCATCCTCTCTCCCACTCTGCTGTCTCCGACCCCAGAACCTGCCCCCTTTGCTCCTTCTCAGCCTCACTCAGCCCTTCCGCCCCTTCTCCGCCTCCTTTCCGCCCTCAACACTCACCCTCCTCCTCAGACTCCCCTGGAGGCCTCCTCAGGGAGCAGGGGAGCAGGACTGGAGGGCCCCGGAGGAGGCACTGTCTCTCAGCTGCCACCCCAGAGGCACCGGGCCCATGTTCCTCTGCGGCAGCACCAGGGCCATTTCCATGATGACGGGCCTCTCCCCCACACAGTGCCAGAGTGTCCTGCTCCACTGCCGGCCTCTCTTTAAAAAAAAAAATAAATTTCTTTATTGATTTCAGAGAGGAAGGAAGCGGGAGAGAGAAACATCAATGATGAGAGAGAATCACTGATCAGCTGCCTCCTGCACGCCCCCTACTGGGGATCGAGCCTGCAACCCAGGCATGTGCCCTTGGCCGAAAGCGAACCTGAGACCCTTCAGTCCGCAGGCGGACGCTCTATCCACTGAGCCAAACTGGCCAGGGCATGCCCGGCCTCTCTTGCAGGACCTCTGGCTCCACCGTCTTTCTGTTCCTCAAGCTCAGTGGCTCTCCCTGGGCCTCTGCCTCTCTTGTGCTTCTGTCTGTGCCTGACTCCACCGGCCTGTGACCCTCTGTCTTCCTTTTTGTTATCACCTCGGTCCCTTCCTTTTTCCGGCCTCTGTTTGATCTGCCCTGCTCCCTCTCTTTTTCTTCCTCTAACCAGAATTCATTGAAGTCGGGGGAGCCCCCAGGAGGGATAGGAGGAAGGAGCAAGGTAATGAGATGAGTGAGCTCGGACACAAGGAAGTTTTTTCCTGGGTTTGGGGGGAGGCTTGCGAATCCTTTGAGTGTGGCAGGCAGAGCCCTGGACTGGGAGTCAGGAGACCTGGGCCATTTTTGCACCAAGCGTCAGAAGAGGTCACGACCTCTGGACAGTAGTTTTCTTATCGGTAACGTGGCATCATGAAGCCGGCCTTTTCTTAGCAGCTACGGCTTTGCTGCGGTCTGTGCAAGGAGCTGTGAGCTGTGGGGTCTGGGCAAACGAGAGAGGGACCCCACAGCCAATACTGTTGGGTGCAAAGGCCCTGAAGGACTAGGACAGCAGGCTGGCGGATGACTTGCTTTTCCTCTCTGGTGAGGACGGAATGGGAAGAATTCGCAAGGAGCAGGCCTGGGGTTGGGGATTAAGCGTTAGTTGGCTGCCAGGGGTGGGCGTGGGTAATATCATACTTCATCTTCCACCCGTGTGTAGAGTGTGTGAGTCCTATGGAGCCGCTTTTCTAGGTAAACTGTTTTTTTTTTCTTTTTTTTTTCGGACGCTCGGTTTTAATTTTATATTTTTTGCTTTGGTTTGCTTTTTTTTTTAT